CCACCCTGCTAACACTTGTTTTCTTAAAGACTGACGTTCTGATTGTGGTGAGATGGACTGTTGATGTAATGTAACTCTCTTCTCTTTGTTCCTGGGTTTGTGAGACACAGTGTCATTAGCAGAAAAAAGGGTCTTCTCTTTGCATGTCCCTCTCTTCTCTATTAGACAGGGTCTTGCTGTGTAGCCCAGGAAACCTCAAACTCATGATGGTTCTTCCTTAACCACCTCAGCACTGAAGTTATAGGCAGGCACCACCATACTCAACTTGGGAGATTTTTTTTTCTTTTAAAGGTTTCTCTGTGTAGGGCTTGACTGTCCTAGAACTTGCTCTGTAGACCAGACTGGTCTTGAACTCAGAGAGCTACCAGCTTCTGCCTCCCAAGTACTGGGATTAAAGGCATGTGCCACCATGCATGGCTGGGAAATTTCTTTTAAACAGGCCAAACAACACAATAGAACTCCGGAGAGGGTTTCTGGAGACCCTGGTGTTAGTGTCAGAATGACATTTGACCTTTGACCTGCTATTGAGTGACTATGACCTTGAGCAAATCCTAGTCTTCTTGGATCTCAATTTCTTCATCTGAAAAAAGGGAGTTGAAGAGATAATTTCTAAGATTTCTTTCAGCTGTAACATTCTGTGGTTTTCTGCATTCATGCCCTTGAACTGAGAACATGGTATTTTGTGATTTATACCTTACTAGAGAATTAAAAGAAAATGTAGTGGAACTTTCATTTTCTGATGTCTGGTGACATTGAACATGTTTTTCGTGCGTTAATTGGCCATTTGAACTTATCTTTCAAAGACCATTTGTTCATGACCCCATTTATTGATTGGGTTATTGGGTTTCTTGTTAGTTTTTTGAGTCCTTGTATATTCTAGCTATAAATCCTCTTAGACACATAGCTAGCACAGCTGCCCTCCCATTCTGTAAGACAACTCTCCACTCAGCTGTTTCTTTTGCTGTTTGGCTTTCTGGTTTCATGAAACGCCATTTGTCAATTGTTTAGCATTAGTTCCTGGCTGACTGGAGACCATTTACTAAGTCCTTGCCTATGTCAATATCTTGAAGTATTTCTATAGTTAATCTTCTAATAGTTTCATGTATTCTGTTAAGACCTTTGATCCATTTGGAACTGATTTTTTTTTTTTTACAAGGTAATCTAGTTTCATTCTACATGTGGATAACCAGTTTTGCCAGCACCATTTGTTGAAGAGGATGTCTTGTCTTCATATTTCTGGTATCTGTCAAAAATTGGGTGGCTGTAGCTGTGCTGGTCTATATCTGGATCCTCTGTCCTAGTCCACTGATCTATGTGTTGCTTTGTGCCAGTACTATACTGCATTTGTTACTACGGCTCAGTAGCAGAAGTTAGAAACAGATATGGTGATACTTGTGGTATTGTTTTCTTTTTCTCAGGATTGAACTCAAGTTGTCAGGCTTGGATAGCACGAACTCAGAATGGCACAGGAGAACTGCTACTTGAGAAAAGGGTTTCTGGCAAGCCAACCACCATTCCCAATTATTAGCCTCTGATCTAACAAATCTGGTGGCTGTCTGGGAGGCAACACTGGTCTTGAACTCCTTTCTGGCCACTTGTAGTGGGGAGCTGGTGTGGGCTGAGTAGAGGAGGCCGCTGACCTTCTCAGGAGGGAAGCAGACACCTGCCTGAGATCCCTGAAACAGCAGGCCAGAACTGGAGCCGTGAATAGAGCCCCAGTGGTTTGCAACTTTTGTCTTTCACCCTCGGTATCAGTTACCTTTTTAGTTTTGATAGAGTCTTGTTATGTAGTTCTGGCTGTCCTGGCTGTCTGTTACATACAGACAATACTAACTTTAAATACATGTTGTTTTGTCTGCCTCTACTTTCAAGCTGTTGGGGTTACAGACATGTGCCGATGTGTGGCTACCTGAATTTTTTATATTAGTATAACGTATCTTTCTATAGTCATATTTTCATTTATGCTATTTAATAGGCTTGTAAAATTCTATTTGAGTAGGCTGCAATGAAGTTTAATTGGTGGGTACTTTGCTTTGGGTTATAACATCCTATATGCTGACATTTTATGACTACATGCTATTTATCTGGGAATCTTCCTAAGGCACCACATTGCCTGTCTCAGCATGATGCCAGAAAAAAGTCAAATTACTAGTCTATTAATACTCAAAAGCAGAATAAACCAGGAAGAGCTTAAAAAGCTCTATGCCATGTAGCAACTAAAAAGACCTAATTTAGATAATCTCCTCCTTTTTTATCAGAATTTCAAAAGGCTGCTGAATTTATAAACTTTCCAAGCAATTTTATAAAGCAGAAAATTTTTAATAAACTATGTTATAAGCAGAAGTTATATTGGGATTTGAAGAAGCCCCAAAGACATCACCTTTCTCTCCTGATTTTCTAAATAACTGTAGCACCATCACCAATACAATGGCTAGCAAGGAGCAGGATTCCATCTCTGAACACCAGCTTCTTCAAGGTTGACTTGGTCATCCAGCGGTCCACTGTGAACCACTTTCCTGTGGTCTACCTTCAAAAACTAGCAACAGTGGATGAAGAGAGCAGAACAAATCCTTCCATAAGAAAGGATCCTGATCTCCTTCATTCATTTGTTGGCCTGGGAAGGAGTAGAGGGGAAGAGCAAGACCAGCTGTACTTCGAAGTGGAAGAAATAACCACAAGTGGGGGAGACGTCAATCCTTCAATCGTCAGCAAAGCTCGCCCAAAGCAGGATATTTTTAGGACTCTAAATTCATACACACAGTTCTTGGGAAATCATGTCAAATGTTAGATTGTAAAATTTTAGGCAACAATCCAAGCTGTGCATATTTGTAGGTTATGCTTACCCAGTATTTGGAACACAGTTCTCATCAGGTCTTAATTCGTAAGAGGACAGCTCACAAACCACCCAACCATCTATGACTACCTAAGTGTAAGATAAAAATGTTAGAGGGCTGAGTTATATAGACATTTCCCTAAACATCACAGGCTATTGCCAAGGCTATCGGCTACTGTCCAGAACTGAATGGTAAGGCCCTGTTGCTGAAGACACAACTTCTTAGGTCATCAAACACTGAGAAGTCAGGCTGGTGCCTAACTAGAAGCTTCATCCCCAATGACTAGTGTTCATAGTGCTAGAAGGTACTTTGCACGTTGGAGGAGAAAAGCAATCATCAGCACCAACCAGCTACAAACCCTGCAAGCTACAACAAAGACCGGCTTGCAAGATATACTGATGTAATAGTGGCGCAGATGTTATATGAGTAAGCAACCACTTTTGACTGGATTTAAGACTCACTCCATGAGATGGAAGACATATTTGACACTGCTGAAAGGGCAAAAAACCTAGGATTAAACGGATCACAGGCCTAGGAGGAAGCCTACTACTGTTATTCTCCTAAAGGAACACAGCAATAAAATGACTCCTAAGGACACATTTCTACACCCATAGATCAGAGCATTGCTCGACCCTCATCAGAGAAGCTTCTTCTTGCAGTAGATGGTGATTAACACAGAAACCCACAACTGGGCAATGTGCAGAGAGTTAAAGACTTTGGAGTACTCAGTCCTAAATGGAATGTCTTCATCAAATCCCTCCTCTCAAGATTTAGAGATCTACGTGGAAGAAGAGGTGGAAAGATTGTAAGAGCCAGAGGTGGTGGATGACTCCAAGGCAATAGCATCTTCCAGAAATAAGAGGACTGATACACATATGAATTACAGAGGCGGTGACAGCATGCACAAGATCTGCAAAGGTTAAAATCAGACAAAATCCCAGTACTGAGAAGAAGTGGACACAAAGTCCTACTTGTAACCAAGAAACTATTTACAACTGATATTTCCTCCAGTGGTGTGTAACTGGGTATGCCAACCACTCTAGGGTAAGTCTCATTCCAGGAGCAGTTAGCCTACACAAAATGGACTCCATGGTTTTTTGGTTAGTTTTTTTTTTTTTTTTTTTTTTTTTTTCCTCTGAGAGAAAGAACATGGAGTGGGTAGGGAGAGAGGATCTGGGAGAAGTTATATACAAACTACATTGTATGAAAAAAAAATTTTTTTTTCTCGGAGCTGAGGACCGAACCCAGGGCCTTGTGCTTGCTAGGCAAGTGCTCTACCACTGAGCTAAATCCCCAACCTTGAAAAAATTTTTTTAATAGAAATTAAAATATTAGGGTGTTGAAAAGATGGTTCAGTAGTTAAGAGCACTGGGAATCTGAGTTTGATTCCCAGAACCCACATGGAGGCTCACAACTGCCTGTTACTTCAGTTCCTATTCAACACACTCTTCTGGTCCCCATACATACAGGCAAAACATAAATACATATAAAACACTGAAGTAGTAATAATTTTTTTAAATGTCAGTCAATAGATGCTTACACTGATTATAATAGAAAAGTTTTAAATTATGGATAACTATTAGTAACTTCTTTCCTTATGGGAAAATACCTCTGTTTTTGAATAAAGAGCTCTAGTATTGAGAATCAGTAGAAGTTCTGTGAGGATTCAATATTGCTTCAAAACTCAGGATTCAGGGCCTGGAGAGATAGCTATTTGTGTATATATTCCCTCCTGGCATTTGGAACACCAATGAAGGATGTTAAATATCTTCCTGTCTGGATTGTGCAGATTCACACTTTACTAACTGGGCTTTATTCTACAAGTAGGACAGAACACAGGGCTGCAGGCCTGCTAGGGGGACACCTCAAACACCAGCATTTCTATGAAGGAAATGGATTGTTTTGTTCTTTTTGAGATAAGTCTTTGTAGCCTAGGCTGGCTTTGAACTCACAGGAATTGTCCTGCATTAGCTTGGGTGTTGAGATTACAGGTGTGTACCACCACTTTTATCCAACCCAGGCTAAAAATGATGAATTACATCAGTGTTTGTTGGAATCATAATAAATAATAACAACCTTCCCAACAACAACAAAAATTCAAAACAAAACATAGCTAAAAACCAATGAAGTCAACAGATTGACTCAAGAATAAGTCAGTGCTACAGCTTAACATAAAAGCCTTAAAACTTCCAAACATATCATTTAATTTCATTTAGCACACAGAATAATTCAAAACAAAACATAGCTAAAAACCAATGAAGTCAACAGATTGACTCAAGAATAATTAGTGCTACAGCTTAACATAAAAGCCTTAAATCTTCCAATATTTAATTTCATTTAGCACACAGAATAATTTATTCATTAAAGTAATGCCTATTTACAGAACTCTAACAGAAAATTTTCAAAATTTAAAAACAACTAGCACAATTTTACAATTCTAATTTTGTATGAACATAAACCTTTTGGGTACATAATGTATCAAAATGTAAGCTCTGCTTACACAATACAAACAAGCTTTCATAGTGTCAAGAGAATCCGCCAAAGGACAATATGGCTACTATAAAAACCGAATACGCTTCCATATACTGAATGACAATGGTCATGTGTCCTGGAGTACTACCTGCATCTAAGTAACTCTGATTCTGGCTACACACTCTAGAGGAACACGTGCTGATGAGGGCTGAAACTGATCTGCATAAATGAAAAACTGCTATGTTGAGCAGGAATGATGGACGTTGAGCTTTTTTCTTTACACACCATCTTACCTTTAAAAGGAGAAGAAATTAAGCAGTTAAAAGTAACTACAGAACAAAAGTGAAGCAAAGTGTGGAAAAAAGGCCAACTGAGAAAACAACTTCCGTGATCAAGAGTGTCTTATCCGTGGTTGGTGAGGTGGGAACTTAGGGCTAGACACTGGTGTCTGCAGAGGCAGAGCGGGGAGATGCTACATCCCTTAAAGCACATTTCCGCTCCCCACAAGTTTAGTACAGCCCAAACAGCCTAGTCACTCTTCTGGGTCACTAAGGGCAAACTTTTAAAATACGTAAAGCATGATCTCCAAATGCATACAGCAGAAAAACATTCTCTTCTATATGCAGTGATGGGTCTTTCCAGGAAAAACTTGCACGGGTCTCCCCAATACAATTCCCCTCTCTCTTTATTTGGGGAGAGACACTATCAGGGACCATCCCCAGTGCTCTCCTTACTGTTCAAACGATCAACGGTTCTTCACTTTTATCACTAGTCCCGCCCTTGCACTCATCTAAGGGAGGGCCCACTGTGTTCAGTCACATTAGGAGGAGGCTGGTGGAAGGCTGCTATGTCCCTAGGAAGTTATGTCAGGTCACAAAGATGTACCTTTTCTACTTTTTCCTTAAATAGTTGGTTTATCAGAAAAAATGGTTGACCTTGATTTTTAAAAGATTTATTTTTATTTATGTGTGGGTATGTACCCATGTGTGTGGTACTGGGAGGCCACAAGAGAGTATTAGCCTCTAGGTCTGGGATCACAAGAAGCTGTGAGCTGCCATAGGGTGCTGGGGACTGAACTCTAGTCCTCTGCAGAGCAGCAAGTGCTCTTAACTGCTTAGCAACTTTATAGCCCCTTGACCCCAATTGCCAATAGAGTGACACTTAGTGACTAACTGCTAACTGAGGCCCACAGTGACCACCTGAAGGCAATAACTCCCAAAGCCTTTCCAATCACCAAAAACTACAGGCAGCCAGGCAGTGGTGCTGCATGTCTTTAATCCCAGCACTCAAGAGATAGAGGCAGGTAGTTCTCTGAGTTACAGGCTAGCCTAGTCTACTGAGTGAGTTCCAGGACAGCCAGGGCTACACAGAGAAACCCTGCCTCGAAAAACCAACCAACCAAAAAAAACAACAAGAACAAAACAAAAAACCTACAAGCAACAACAAAAAGGGAAATTCTGTTTGGTCAGGTTTACTCAAGCAGACCTCTTACACAAAATCAATGCTAGAGAACATTTAGTCAAAGTGTGGGCACAATTCCAACATCCTTAGACAGGCAGCTTTGCTGAAACATTTTCATGAACTGGCAAGGATGTTTTTGCATCACTTTTGAGAATGTTACTTTCCTACAAGGCCAGGGTACCTGAGAACTAACTGCATGCCCAAGACACATTTGTGGTTCTCTCTTTTTCCTTAAACTGTTCATAGCCCATTATTTGCTTCTCATGTGTCTCCCAAAGGAGGGCAGTGTCTGGTACAGTGACATGCTAAATAAACATCAGATGAATGAATAAGTAAATAAATCTCATATAATCCAAAGTTCTGTTTGGGGAAAAGAAAAAAAATCTCTCACAATATCAAAGACAATATGGAAAACAAGAAAGATAGCCAATAGTCCCCATCAACTGAGGTTAACAGATTTGATGTAAAAACAATAAAACCAAATCAAACAGACATCCCTTACCTCCACCCCAAATGCCATTTTCAACAACTGGTATTTTTTTGAGATTCAGAATATCTGACTGATTTTAACTGAAAGTTAACATAAAAGGTGTACTCTGGCTGGGTGGTGGTGGCACATGCCTTTAATCCCAGCACTTGGGAGGCAGAGGCAGGAGGATCTCTATGAGTTTGAGGCTAGCCAGGTCTACAGAACTAGTTCCACGACAGCCAAGGCTACTCAAAGAAACCCTGACTCGAAAAGCCAAAATATAAAAGTGTCCTCTGGAAGACTCACAAAGGCCCTGTGACTGTAACAAAATGCATAGGCACCTAGTGCTCTGTGTGTCTCAACATGGCAGAGACTCTTCTGAATACACCAGGTGAGTGTCCAGGGTCCCATAGAGCGAGTGCAGCACACTGAGGACCTTTTCCTGAATGGTGTCAACTTGTTCAGGAGGACAGTAGTCATCCAGACTTGACCTGGAGCCAAGAGAAAAAGAGGAAGGCTATGTGAGCATGATGAAGTCATTCTGTGCGGAGGAACAGGCTGCGTGTGCTACTGTCAGTAAAGAGACATGCGGGTGACTGAGAGCTAGCAGATGTTTACCTACTTTAGGTGCTTTACAAGAACTGTTCTTTATCATTATTTTTAAATAGCTATTCTGTAGGACAGGTACAATTACCAACTTTCTGCAGTTTTGTTTTGAGACAGCATATTGCAATGCAGACCTGGACGGTCTTGAACTGGTTATGTAGACCAGGCTGGTCTCAGGCTCCCTATAACCTTCCTGCCTTTGCCTCTCAAGTGTGTGTGCCAAGCATATGCTACCATGGCTGAACTCAGGCCCTCATACTTGCATGGCATGCCATCTCCCCAGATCATGCCCGACATGCTTTTTAAAGCTCACCAGCCCCATGTAGGTGACAAAGTGTTGTTTCAGGGTAAGGGAATTCTTTTCCTTAAAATTTACTTTTATGTGTGAGTGTGTGCCCATGTGTGTGGGCGTCCACAGAGTCTAGAACAGGGCATTGGATACCCTAGAATTGGAGTTGTGGTTGTGAGTGACCTGATGTTGGGTGCTGAGAACAGAACTCAGATCCTCCGAAAGAGCCGCAAATGCTCTCACCTGCTTAGCCATCTCTTCTGTGTGTATGTGTGGGGCAGGGGTGGAGTTTTACAACCTACAGCTTTAGGAGAGTTCCGCTCTCTCACCTTTACTAGCATCTAGATTCTGCCTGCTTTCCTCGCTGAGAACAGGAGTCCTATTCTCCATCTTCCAAGCTGGCAGTACGACACCTTCCAAACCTTCTTCTCTCCTGATTCAGTAGTTCAGACCCCCTCTGAGGAGGAGTCCTGTGACAACACTGAGGAGAACTCCTTTCAAAACCCTTGCATTCTTCACACTGCAGAGTCCCTACTGCTGTGCAGAGGTTCCAGAGAGTAGGACACGGACGTCTGTGATGGGCTGTCATCCAGCCAATCACACTTACCTTGCAATTGTCACAAGAGTAGGCTTTGGAAGACTTTTCAGTAAAGAATACATAGACTGAATAAGACACTCAATTTCTTCTTCTGTGCTGACGTGATGAGGGAGTTCGGAATAATCGCAGGTTAGCCCAGCCTGGTGAACCTGAAGATAAGGAGAAAATGACACCGTGAGTCGGGTATGCGTCTCGATGGCAGAGTGTATGCCTAGTGTGCACAAGCACGGGCTCCGGACCCACTACTCACAAAGACTCTAAATGGAACTGGAAGACTTCAGTGACTTTAGAAGGCTCTTGGGAGAGCGGGCACGGAGGGGACAGGTAGAGCCTTAAAGCTCACTGGCTGGTGAGCCGAGCTGAACGAGGAGCTTCACGTTCAGTGAGACCTCGTCTCAAAAACAAAGGCTGACGGAGACAGTGGGCTCAGCCGAAGGAAGCGCTTGCCACGAAAAGCCTGGACCTCAGTTCAATCTCAAGAACCCATGTAAAACCAGGAGGACCAGTTCTACAGTCTGACCACTACATGTGCATTGTGATGAGAGACAGAGAGAGACAGAGAGAGAGAGCGAGAGCGAGAGAGAGAGCGAGCGAGAGAGAGAGAGAGAGAGAGAGAGAGAGAGAGAGAGAGAGAACAATCAAGGAATGCTTCAGGCATTTGACTGCATCATCGTTTTCAAGCCCCGAGTATCATGCACCTACCATTCTTTTCTTTTTCAGGTTATGTGTAAAGGTGTTTTACCTGCATGCATGTATGTGCACCACATGTGGGCAGTACCTGCAGAGGCCAGAGGGCATCAGATCCCCTGCAACGGGAGTTGCAGATGGTTGTGAGGGGTCACGTGGGGGCTGGCAACTGAACCTGGGTCCTCTGAAAGAGCAGCCTGTGCTGTTAACCACTGAGTCATCTCTCCAGCCCCAACATGTGCTATTTTTTTTTTGTTTGTTTTGTTTTTCGAGACAGGGTTTCTCTGTGTAGCTTTGCGCCTTTCCTGGATCTCACTCTGTAGACCAGGCTGGCCTCGAACTCACAGAGATCCGCCTGCCTCTGCCTCCCAGTGCTGGGATTAAAGGCGTGAGCCACCACCGCCCAGCAACATGTGCTATTTTTAACAAACGCTGTTTTCAGAGAAGAGTAAGCCTTGGCTTTGCAAGCATTAACTATGCTGTTATTTATTTATTTATATTTAATAAGTGAAGATTAAGTTAGTAAACACCAGCTCCAATAAAGTGGCATGACAGCATTCACAACCAAAGAAAACCAAAAACACCTCTTACTGATGAGACAGAAGCAGCAGACTCAGAGGCAGGGGACTTGGAGTGTCAGCTGTGGCATCTTAACAATCTGAGGAATGCACCTAAACTGTACTGCTATGTGGCCCAGACTGGCTTTGAATGAAGCATGTAGTCCAGGCTAGCCCAGAACATGCTACTGTAGCCTCCACTCCCAGAGTGTGCAGACTATAGTGAAGCCTTTCCTGGCTTCACTTGAACTTTTTTTTTTTTAAAAGATTTATTTTATTTATTATGTATACAGTATTCTGCCTGCATGTGTCCCTGCAGGCCAGAAGAGGGCACCAGATCTCATTATAAGTGGTTGTGAGCCACCATGTGGATGCTGGGAATTGAACTCAGGACCTCTGGAAGAGCAGTCGGTGCTCTAAACCACTGAGTCATCTCTCCAGCACTCACTTGAACTTTTAAAGCTTTACATCTTCTCAAATATTGAGTCAAAAAGGAAAATATCTGCTTCAAGGACTCTAAGGTACTAGGAGTTAGAAATTATGATCACAGGTCTTTGCCTCACCAATCAGGTCACTACTGACAAGTGGCAAAGAACTAACATTTCAAATGCACCAGACACAGTTTTTTTTTCTTTTTTCTCTTTTGGTTTTTATGATCCTGTAAATTTTCAGAGAAAGGAAAAGAGTCCAAGTAAGAACTAATGGCCAGGCGTGGTGGCATACCCCTTTATTCCCAGCATTTATTCCCAGGAAGTTTGAGGCCAGCCTGGTCTACTCAGCAAGTTCCAGGTTGGCCAGGGATATGCAGTGAAACCTTGTTTGAAAATAGAAAGAAACATCAACAAGTAGATGATGAAATTAGAAACCACAGACTAAATTATGGATGGTGGGGTGAGACTGGATTATCAACAAGCCCAGAAAAAAACAAAGTAACAGTGGGGCCTGGTGGTGCATGCCTGAAACACCAGAACTGTGAGTGGAGGCCTGAGGATCCCGGAGGCCTGCATGAGACCCTGTCTCAAATCATAGTAAAAACAGTAAAAGATTCAGAGTACCTTGGCTTCTTAGATAAATAAAATAAGAATCTCTCTCTGGGTAGTGGTGGCACACACCTTTAATCCCAGCACTCAGGAGGCAGAACCAGGAGGATCTCTGTGAGTTCGAGGCCAGCCTGGTCTACAGAGTGAGTTCCAGGGAAGGTACCAAAACTACAGAGAAACCCTGTCTGGGGGCAGTGGGGGACCAACCAACCAACCAACCAACCAACCAACCAAAATAACAAACAAAAATCTTTCTCCTGGGAAAAAATATATATTTAATTTTATTCATTTTTATTTTATGTGCACTGGTGTTTTGACAGGGGTGTTGGGTCCCCTGGAACTGGAGTCACAGACAGCTGTGAGCTGCCATGTGAGTGCTGGGAATTGAACCCAAGTCCCTGGAAAAGCAGTCAGTACTCTTAACCACTGGGCCATCTCTCCAGTCCTCTGGGAAAATATTTTTTAGAATCTTTTGTGAAAAGTATGTATTTTATCACTCTTTAATTTTTAAATAAGTAATCTAAACAAAATGAGCCAATTGAAGAAAACTTTCATTCAGAAAATTACTTGTATAAAGCATCAATTTTACAAAGATATGAAATATTTACCATTTCATAGTCTGGTACTTCCATCCGTTTTTTCAAACTCTGTACAAGTGGAATTAGTGATTCCATTCTGGAAAAAAGCCACCCCAGTCATTAAACACCACAATAACCTTGACTAGCATTGGCAACAAATGGCATACTAGACATTTTTTTTTGTTGTTTGTTTAAATCATGGATTGGGGTCAGGAGTTGTGCTAGACAGTTTTATGTTAACTTGACACAAGCTAAAGTCATCTCAGAGGAAGGAACCTCAATAGAGAAAATGCCTCCATAAGATCAGGGTGTAGGCAAGCCTGTAGAGAATTGTCTTAATCAGTGATCAGTGAGGGAGGACCCAGCCCATTGTGGGTGGTTCCATTCTTTGGTTGGTGGTCCTGGGTTCTATAAGAAAGTAGAGTGAGAAAGTCATGAGGAGCAAGCCAGTAAGCAGCACCCTTCCATGGCCTCTGCATCAGCTCCTGCCTCCAGGTTCCTGCCCTGCTTGAGTTCCTGTCCTGACTTCTTTTGATGATGAACTGTGCTGTAGAAGCATAAGCTGAAGAAACCCTTTCCCCCACAAGTTGCTTTGGTCATGGTGTTTCACCACAGCAATAGTAACCCTGACTAAGACAGGAGCATATAGTTCAGTGCTTGCCTAGCAAGCATGTGCAAGGCTCTGGGTCCAATCCACAGCAGTATACAGAAAATAATGATTAAAAAATAGAGCTCCACCATGGATACATGCTTCAAATGATGGATGGTTGAGAAATGAAAGACAGAGTTGTTCAATACCATCTTCTTTAAATTTATTTGAAACAGGGTCTCACTATGTAGCTCTGGCTGGCCTGGAACTCAAGATCCTCTTGCCTCTACCTCCTGAGTTCTGGGATTAAAGGTGTATACCACTCGCCTGGCTATCTTTTTAACTAAATTTATTATTATTACTATTCTAACTGTTATTTTAGAAAAGTAACTATTTCACAAAGCCCAAGTTAGCTTGTAACTCAATATGCAGCTGATGATGACCTTTATCTTCCTGTCTCTCTCTCTAAACCCTTTTACAGAGAGTGCATAAATAATACTCAACAAAGGCAGTGGTCAACACTGGGTGTCTTCTCAGTTATTTTTTGAGATAGGATCTTCACTGACTCTAATGCCCATCAATTCAGCTAGGCTGGCTAGCCAGTGAGCTACAGGGATACTCTTGTCTCCGCCTCCCTATTACAACCAAGTCTGGCTTTTTAAATAGATGCGCAGGATCTGAACTCGGGGCTCATGGCGATGTGGTAAGCACTTTACTGAGTAAGCCGTCTCCCTAGCCCTTGATTCGAATTTAAGGAGCAACTCGTCAGACCAACTTTGAAATGTGTCTAGAATGGACAGCTTGTGATTTGGGAAAGAAAGCGGTCAGGGTCTTACCCGGGGTTTGAGGCCCATCTCTGTACAGTTTCTTCACCATCACCATCACATAAATCAGCAAAAACTGCTTCTAAATCTTCCAGTTGACGAGTCCGAGTATCAACAATATCTACCAAATCTTCCTTCAAAAACATGGAAAAACTGAAGTTACGGTTATTCCTTTAAAAAACAAGTAAAATACTATTATGATGAAAATACCAGTTCAGTTAGCTAAAAATATTTTCTCTGTACTAACCGAAGCATTCCCCGAAAGAATACACATGTACGTGTGAATATCTATATGCACACGAAGAAGAATCCGGATAGCTGAGAACATTTAAATAAGCTACAAGATGTTCTTAGTGCTAGGCAAGGTGGCTTACACTTACATTCCCCGCACTAAGGAGGCTGAATTTGAGGTAGGCTAGAGCTACACAAACTCTTAAAATAATCATCCTAATAATGAAAGCAAGTACTTAGTGGTAGGTAAAGTGCAGGCTTACCTCAGTAAGGTTACTATCAGGCTTTTTAAACTGGTAAAGCTCCTGTAGAATTTTGTACTCATCCTGCAAGACAAAACAAAAACCCCAAGGTTATGAGTTTCCAACAATATGCCTATTTCCAACAATATCCAAACGTTTGTCTGGGAGAATCAGGCACACTGTATACTTTAAATTTCTAAAACAGATCTATTTTTTCAGGACACATTTACCTAGCTGGGCAGAATATAGTATAAAAATTAGCTAATAGGCTAAGAGATCATCAAAGTATTTTTCTTTTTTTTTAAGATTTATTTATTTATTTTTTATTTATTTATTTATTTTGTTTTTTGAGACAGGGTTTCTCTGTGTAGCTTTGCGACTTTCCTGGAACTCCCTCTGTAGTCCAGGCTGGCCTCGAACTCACAGAGATCCGCCTGCCTCTGCCTCCCGAGTGCTCGGATTAAAGATGTGCGCCACCACCGCCGGGCCGATTTATTTATTTATTATGTATACAGTGTTCTGCCTGCATGTATCCCTTCAGGCCAGAAGAGGGCACCAGATCTAATTGCAGGTGGTTGTGAGCCACCATGTGGTTGCTGGGAATTGAACTCATGACCTCTGGAAGAGCAGTCAGTGCTCTTAACCACTGAGCCATCTCTCCAGCCCCCAAAGTCTTTCTAATATAAGCACATACCATTATATGAATGGACACATCCTAAGATCTAAACAGACGTTAGCTGTTCATGGGAGGCATACACGTCTTCCATGGCGATGAAAGAAGATTCCCCATGGGTACCATGCAGCTACTTCTCTAGCCACAGAGACCTTTGGAGATCAGAAGCAATGCTGGCCTGCAGAGTGGCAGACCCAGAACCTGAGTTAAGGGAAAGATGCTTAGCATATCTAGATTTTGTAAGTGAGGTAAAACGAGTAAACTCCTTCTTAAAAACATAACTGGACAGCTCCGTTTCTAAGTGGCTGCATGGGGCCCAGTGCTAGGTAAGAGCTAAAATGTATAGTGTTTCACCGACCATGACAACACTATGAGCTGGGGCTTATTCATTATTTAAGTACCTACTCTGCAGCACTGAGGATTGAACCCACAACCCTGAGCAAGCTAGTGCTCTACTGCTGAGGTACACCCTTAGCAGGCTGGGGATGACTGCTTCATTGCAAGTACCTTTCCCAGGATGGCACAGCTAGTAAGCTTTCCGAGACAAAGGTTTCACGTAGCCCAGGCTGGATTTGAACTCATGATCCCTATATCTTCTTCCCAAGTGCTGGTATTACAAGCATGTGCCATTACGCTTTGCCCCGTTATCTTTGTTTATTTTAAAATAGAGCTGGGCCAGTGAAACGGCTCAGAGGGTATAGGTGCCTGCCACCAACGCTGATGATCTTGAAACTGACTCTGGAAAGTTGTCCTGGCTTCCACAGGTGCGAAGTGGCATGAGCCGCCACCACCCTCCCAAAGTTAATACATTCATGTAATGACCAATAAAAATAGCGCTAGTAAATTGGAAAGTGCAATGTAGGTTGGATATCTTTATCTGAGATGCTTGGAAGCACAAGTTCTATCAAGTTCCAGGAGTTTTCCAGATTTTGGAAAATCTGGGGACTTTAGGGGTGCACTTCTTCATGGTGCGTAGGAAGTTTTGGGTTTTTGAGTGTTTAAGATTTTGTAATTTTTAATTAGGAATGATAAGCTTGTATGTAATTTTAAAAGACTGGAAAAGAACAGAAGAATATGTGGCAGGAAACATGGCCTTTAAACCCGAAGATAATTCTCATCCGGATGTTTGCGGAAAGGTTACTCTCTGTCATCCAGAGAAATGCCATGCAATTCTCAGGGTCTATGCTTCCAAACTACCACATTTACCTGCGTGAACATTTCTTTGAAGGGATTTTTGACAGAAAAAAAATCCAAGTCAATATCTAGAACAAATGCATCTCCATTCTTCAGCACTTCCAGGATCTCTCCAATGTTGGCTGTGCTTTGGCACTGCTGGCCTCCAGAGGAACAGGGGCCTGATGGCTCCGGGCAAGCACAGTCACTCGGTGGGGTCACTGCATCTCCCTCGCAGTCCTGAGCCAGGATCTCTCCAATGTTGGCTGTGCTTTGGCACTGCTGGCCTCCAGAGGAACAGGGGCCTGATGGATCCGGGCAAGCACGGTCACTCGGTGGGGTCACTGCATCCCCTCGCAGTCCTTCTGAGCAAGGGTCCCCGTTAGCAGCGGCAGTGCTCTCTCGACCGCCCAGTGCCAGCTTGGGCTTCTTGGCAGAAGACACGGAGTCACTGTCCTCTTGATGGTTACAGAGTCTGTGAGGTTCTACCACAACCACGTCCAACTGTAAGGGTTTCTGGTTCTCCAGCTGGTCTTCAGGTACAAATAGACCGTCACTTAGGAAGTAATAGTCGGTACTGGTAACCCTGGATCAAAGGGAAAACTATTGTAAGGAGAGAGCACATTAGCCGGCGTGACACCGCAGAAGAAAGACATGTCTGACAAAAACAAGGGACTTTAATGCTTACACTTTGTCTTCAGTAGACACAGCTTCTCCACATTCTGAGCTGGCACACCACTGCCCAAAGGAAAGACTACACATTGTTTTGTAGTCCAACCTGCAGCTAGCTGTGGCCACCTCACAAGTTCTGGTCAGTGACTGTGACAGGTGTATGGAGTGGTGCTCTCCCCATCTTGCTGACCAGCCATGAGCATGAAAGTGGGAAGTTACGTTGGCCCATGAGGACTCCAGAGATCGTGGAACATGAAGATAGAAGGAGCCAGGTGCGGTGACTCATGTCTGTAATCTCAGAGCTTGAGAAGCTAAGGCAGGGCTGGTGCAAGGATGAGGCCAGCCTGGGCTACAAAGTAGGACTTGGTCTACACATGCACGCACGCACGCACGCACGCACGGGGGGGGGGGGGGGGGGGGGGGGGGGGAGAGAGAGAGAGAGAGAGAGAGAGAGAGAGAGAGAGAGAGAGAAAGAGAAAGAGAGAAAGAGAAACTAGGTTTTTCTAAAAGAAATTGTTAATCAAATAAGAAAACAAAGAATGGGCTGGAGAGAGAGCGGAGAGCGGGTAGGTTAAGAGCACTTGCTGCCCTTCCAGGGGACGAGAGTTCATTTCTTAGCACCTATAAGAGACAGCTTACAATGGCCTGCAACCCTAGCTCCAAGGTATCCAACCCCTTTCTAGCATGCTTTGGCAAATGCAGGCAGACACACACACACACACACACATAAATCTTCAAAAATGTAAATAAAAAACTCTAAGAAAAAAATTATAAGAAATAATTTCTCTAAATACAGAAGTTCTATTTCATAGCTTTAGTTAAAGTATATAATCACAGTATTTTTTTAACATGAAAAGCAATTTCAAAAGATCCGCATATAAAATTCAGTTTATGAGCTCTGGATTTCTGTTTTAAAGATTTATTTTATTGAGTTCCCCCCACCAACTTTTCTGTGTGTGTGTGTGTACCTAAGTGTGCAGGTGCCCATGGAGGTCAGAAGGGGGTACTGGCTCCCAGGGAGCTGGAGACACAGGGGTTTGAGAGGGTCTGGATGTGGGTGCTGAAATCCAACTCCAGTCATTGGATAAAGCTCTAAGTGCTCTTACTGCTGAGCTATCTCTGCAGCCCTGACGTTTTAGTTTTTCCTTTTCTTTATAAAGAGACAGAGTGTGACTAAGGTGCTCATTGTGGCATCCAACTCTAGGGCTCAAGTGACCTTGCTTCCAAGAATCTGGGACAATAGGAATATGTAGGTAAGATTTCTGATTCTAAAAATCCAGCATGTAGCCAGGTGGTGGTGGAACACGCCTTTAATCCCAGCACTTGGGAGGCAGAGGCAGGCAGATCTCTGTGAGTTCGAGGCCAGCCTGGGCTACCAAGTGAGTTCCAGGACAGGCTCCAAAGCTACACAGAGAAACCCTGTCTTGAAAAATCAAAGAGAAAACAAAAAACAAAAAAAATTATTTATAGCTCTCGCATGTGTCCTTCCACAGGCCTGATCACATCTATCCCTTTCTCTTTGTCTTGATAAAACTCTTGTTAATGGAAAAAAAACAACAAAGCAACAACAACAACAACAACAACAACAAAAACAGTATGTACACAGCTTTTTGACTATGTCTTGTTGAGTACTTAGAACATTAAATTCAAATACATGTTTCAGAGGCATACTGTACTAAATGAAAATAATACAGTTTATTCCCCAATTGTCATACTTTATATAGCTTTAAATTGACCTGAGACAGGGTCTCACACAGCCTAGACTGTCCCTAAACTACTGATTCTCCTGTCTCCACCTCCTGAGTGCTGGCATTATGGGCATGTGTCAACATACCTGGTATATGTGCTGGGGATTGAGTCTGGGGTCAAGTACACTAACCACACACCCTACCAACTGAGGCTCCACTCTCAGTCCCTACAGCTATAAATTAAAGAGAAGATAGTCGTCAAAGCAGATCATTGACATAAAAGTAAAAGTGCAAGCTTGTTAAAAACTGTAATGTCCTGATGAAGACCAAGACTGTAACCCTAACCTGAATTTATAGTCTGTGTGTGGTATGCATGCCAGTGTGTATATGTGGAAGCTACTCTGCTGTGGGATGTTCTGTATGGCAAATGTGTTGCTAATTAGTCAATAAATAAAACACTGATTGGCCATTGGCTAGGCAGGAAGTGTAGGCGGGACAAGGAGGAGGATAAAGCTGGGAAGTGGAAGGCTGAGTCAGAGAGACACTGCCAGCCACCACGATGAGAAACAGCATGTGAAGATGCCGGTAAGCCACGAGCCATGTGGCAAGGTATAGATTAATGGAAATGGATTAATTTAAGCTGTAAGAACAGTTAGCAAGAAGCCTGCCATGGCCATACAGTTTGTAAGCAGTATAAGTCTCTGTGTTTACTTGGTCGGGTCTGAGCGGCTGTGGGACTGGCAGGTGAGAGAGATTTATCCTGACTGTGGGCCAGGCAGGAAAACTCCAGCAACACTACTCGACCTGGGTGGCATCCCTTGAGGCTTTTGCTGGTCTGGAGCTCACTAGTAGTCTATGCTGGCTGGCCTATGAGCCATACAGATCTGCCTGGCTCTGCCTCTTCAGGACTGGCATGAGAAGTATGTGCCACCATGCCCAGCCTTTTCATGCAGGCTCTGAGATTAAACACAGGTCCTCATGCTTATACTGTAAGAACCTTATCAACTCATCTCTCTCCGAAGCCTCATATTCTTCTTAAGCAAATTTTACTTTGCTTCTATTCCTACAAATAAATAAACGCAGGTACATGCCTACATGCAATAGACTGTTCAAACATGTTTACTTGTTGGACTAACTAAATCATGAGGGAAGCACAATATTCCCCAAGCTGTTATTAAATTTTGAGTTTCCAAAAATATCTGTGATGTTCTGTGTCAGAATAAGACCCTGTCTCAGAAAACCAAAACCATGCCTGGTGTTGTGGTGCACCCCTTTAATCCCAGTACTAGGAAAACACATCTCTGTGAGTTCAAGGCCAGCCTGGTCTCTAGAGAGTTAGGCTATCCAAGTCAACATAAAGTGAGAATTATCTCAAAATACAAAACAGAAAAACTCTCTCACACATACACATCCCTATCAAGCTGGCACGATGGTTCACACCTTTAACCCCCGCATTTGGGAGGTCAAAGAAGGGCTGTTCTGAGTCTGCTGAGTAACAGTGACAACAAAAATCAGTTGTTTTTACAGCTTCTATTAGGTCCACTCAACACACTGAGCTCACTTGTTTATACAAATCAATATTATGTACAATATTTGCTATATGTTGAGGTCTAATTACTTTTTAAAAATTATATAGTAAGTACAATTTTCATAAATCAAGATGACGTCACTCATATAAATGACAAAAACATATAACACCAAAGGTAACACTGTCATCAAAACGGAAACAGAATTACAGGGCACAGTTTTCATTGTCACTGAGGGCCTAGAAAGCTATGTGTACATTGATTAAAACGTTCTTCCTATCCCAGGAGAATTTAGAACCAGACTGCTACTTCCAAAGACAGACACTGTTGCAACACAACACAGAGGATATTAGTTAAGTAGCACATACAAAAAAACCTGATGTACATATTGCTCAAATCAGAGGGCATAGTAATTCAACTTAGACTAAATACCACAAATCACAACAATAAATTTAAAACCTAAAATCTACTTACCCAGACACCGATTTATTAAAAATGAAAACAAAAACAGTGATTTATTTGTTTGTTTGAGACAGGCTCTCATGTAGCCTCAGCTGGCCTCAAACTCACTATGTGACTGAGGATGACCTTGAACCCTAGATTTTTCTGCCTCTACCTCCAGAGGGCTGGGATTACAGGTATGTGCCACAACTCCCAGGTAAGTTTTATGTTTTTTCAGTGCTGGGAATTGAACTCAGGGCTGTAGGCACGTTGGGCAAGTGCTCTACTATTGAGCTATACCTCCAGTTCTTATTTTCGCATTTTGAAACAGGGTCTCATTCCATAGTTCAGGCTGACTTCAAACTTTCAGCATCCTCTTACCTCAGCCTCTCAAGGGCTGTGATTATAGATATGTGCCACTCACCTTGCCTGGCTCATTTTTAAAAGTTCACCTCAACACACTATATTTATATCAGAAGGATCAGGGAAAAAAATGCACTATTGGTTATATAAATCTATAAGACTTGATGGAGTTAGCCAGCAACGGAATCTAAGTTCCAGAAAATGTCATAACACAAAACAATTTCGCTAGTAATAGATATAAAGATTACATGAAAGAGATTAAGAGGATTAAAAATCTGTTTCTGGTGATTCAAGAACTCTTTGGAGGAGCTGGGGCTTAATGTGACTCTGTATGGAGGCATTTAGGAAGTTATTACAAGAATCCAAAGTATAATTCAGTTCCTTTCATACTTACCAAAAATGAAGAAATTACCTGATTGTGGTGGTAGAAATGTCTTTGCCTACTAAGAAGTGGTGTTTGCCCTCTGTGATTTGCTGAGCCCATGTGGGATGAAGCCATATTATATGAGAAAAATGGCCAGCATAAACTGCAGGCATAATCCAATTTTCAATACTTAATTCTCTGGAAAAAAAACCAGAAACATTACAATTATTAATGAATGATTTTTCCCAAACATTTGAAGACAGTAGGTCTCAAGTATGGCCCCTGACAAGGTTCCTGAGACTATTAGGTTAAACGGTTTTCACGGAAATACTATTACCTTTTACTGAACAAACATTTGCACAAGCATGATGGTGCACAGCATGATGATACACAGCATGACGGTGGATTGGTAACTTAAGTGCCACGCAAGGTCCATTAGCAGTCATTATAACATTACTAGCAATTACCCTGTCCAAAAACTAGTTTTGCTGAAGAATGGTCATGGTTTTATTAATTCTTGCCCCCAACTAGATATTTTAAAATAATTCTGTGTAGCAGAAAAAGGAAAACAGCAGAACTCCTTCTGTTTAGATGTGAAGCACAATGGTGGCTTTGAGGAGAAACACCTGGGGCTGAGTTGTGACGAGTTAATTTCTTCTTTGAAAGATCAATTAACTGAGGTTATTCAGACACAAGGCTGGATTGTTGGATTTTGCATTCTAGTTAAGCTTTCAAAAGCTTGTGGAGTTTTGGTGGAGGATCAAAGAACATCACAACACTACTTATCTGATTAAGTGATGGAAATACCATCCCATTTTCCAATCACATCTATGAGAACATGAATTTTCATCATATCCTTCAACCAAAACACCACACAGCAACAGACTGAATGAAGAAGCAGATAGAGAATCCAGACGTCATTTACAGGGGCAAAAATGAGATCTTAAAAAATTTAAATAATTCCATAATAGTTTTAAAAATGTATTTTTATATGCAGACATAATGATGTAATATTTTACAATGACTATCTGAAAATTTTATTTTTAGTTGTAACATAAATACACACTACTATAATTCGCATTGTTTTCAATATGCTTAATTTTTTAAGAGTATAAAGGAATGCAGAAACTTGGGCATGGTGGCATGTACATGCAGTCCCTGCATTGAAGAGGTAGAGACAAGAGGATCAGGGGTTCAAGGCTGGCCTTGGCTATAAAACAAGCTGAAAGTCAGCTTGGTCTACATGAAACCCAATCTCAAAACAACAATAACAACAACAACAACAACAACAACAAAACCCCACAAAACTAGAAAAAAGAAACAGGATACTAAAAAGTTTAAGAACTGTTCCAACTAATGGGTGGTCTGACTACATGCTTAGCACTTTCAATTTCTAAACTATGAAAGAGAGGGAGGGAATGGTGGAACTACCACATTGCTTTAGGAATTAGTGCCTTGACTTGGAGTTTTAGAAAAAGTCAACTAAAAGGTCTATAGTAGACTGAACGTAATATGCTTTACACATGAGATGATGACAGGATTTCAGGATTTATTTGAAGATATAGAATCCTTCCTGAAGGATGGAATGTGAATTATCAACTTGACTTCTATTCCTCTGACTTTACTTTTTAAGATTTCTTTTACTTTTAATTATGTGTGTGTACAGAATGTGCACACGAGTGCAGGTGCCTGCAGAGGCCAGAAGGTGGTGCCGGGTCCTTCAGAGCAGTCACAAAGTGGTTGTGAGCCACTCAGTGCAGATGCTGGGAACCACACTTGGGTACTCTGCAAGCGTAAGTGCTCTTATCTGCAGGGCCATTTCTCCAGCCCCATCTCTACGATTTTATAAAACTGAAAATCAACAGGATTTGTAACCTGAAAATAAAGTCACTGCGAAGTAGGAAGGACACAATCGTAGAGAGGACGGGAAAACTGAAGATGTAGCACTGCATGATTATGGAACTGTTTTCAGAAAAGTCCTATTTTCTGGACCCCACTACCAGGCTTTAAAAGGGGAGGAGAGCGTATTCAGATTACTTCGCAAGTCTCTTTTAGCATCCCCAATTCTAAATTAGAGACCATCAAATAGTGGCTTGGCTGTTTGTTATAATTTTTTTTTTTTGTAAAGTTTTATTGGAACAACCTCTTGCCATTTGCTTGCACAATGTCCATGATTGCTTTCATGTCACAAAGGCAGGCACAAGTAGTTGGATATGGATACAGTGCCAGGAAACCTAAATTACCACTCACACACACCAGTGTCTTAGTTTCTTTTCCTGTCACTATGATAAAATACTTTGACAAAAGTAACAGCAGGTTTTGGCAAGGAGGTCAAGGCAGCAACACTTTGAAGCAGCTGAACACGTCACATCCATAATCGGCAGGAACCTGAGGCAGGGACCAAGGACCAGGTCTGTTCACTTCCCTCTCTCATTTATACAGACCAGGTCCCCAGCCAGGAAGGGCACTCTCACAGTGGGTGGGTCTACCCCCCTCTAGTAATCCAATCAAGACAACCCCCCACAGGCAAGCCCTGGTGCCCACTTCTCTGATAATTCTAGATTCTGCCAAGTTGACAGTTAACACTTAACCATAAAGAGGATTCAATGTAGCGCTGGCTGGCCCCCAACGGTAATTCTCCTGCCTCAGTGCTCTAAGGGCTGGGATCACAGGTATCAGCCACCATGCCTGGTCCCTGTTTTGCCTCTTTTAGTTTGTCAAAAACTTGTTCTTAAACAAAATAAAAAAGGCGACGGGCAGTCGTGACTGCATGTCTTTAATCCCAGCAGAGGCAGAGTCAGGTGGATCTCTGTGAGTTCGAGGCCAGCCTGGTCAACAGAGCAAGTTCCAGGACAGGCTCCAAAGCTACACAGTGAAACCCTGTCTCGAAAAACAAAACAAAACAAACAACCAAAACAAACAAACAAACAAACAAAGCCGAAATAAAAAGGCAAACAAACAAATAAAAACCCCAAACACACGAGTGTAGCAAAAGTCTATTGTTTATCATCTGCTACATGTTATGCTTCAAATACATAAAATGATTAAAAAAAAAGTCATGTTACCCAAAGAGTGCTTCCTTATCAAACACAGTGTCTGCTGGCATATTCACAGGAATAAGGAGGTCTGGATGTGAGTCAAAATGTAAAAAGCTGATATTACTAGCAGGAAGATGTTTCGAACCTATGGCCCGGTATATGAAGGGCAGAACCTGTAACAGAGACACATACACATTGAGAATTGCACACTGTCAAGTTGCGGACTCAAAATCAATCAATCACTGCACAAACTTGAAGCGCATCAAGTTGATAAAAAGTGGAAAAATACAAAATTTCTTTACTCTAGATGGTTCTGAAGAAAATCTCCGTCTTTATCACCCAACTGCTCAGAACCACTCACTAAAGTACTCCAGCTTTTAGGACATTTTCTGTCCTTTTAGGACGGAGCTAGGCTGGATGACTCATGTTCTCCTCTTACACGCTATATGCCCAGGTTTCCTCCTAACTTTGAAAGCACAGACCAACCCAAAGTTGACTTTGTCTCAGAAATCAACTTTCTTTACCGCCTTCATCTTTTTCCATCAGTAAGTCCCCCTAGCCCACTTTTTTTTTGTAGGGGGAGGGGTTGAACCCAAGGTCTGTGGCAAACACTGTACCACTGAGCTTCACTCTTGACCCATCTTGTTTTATGTCCAGAGACCCTCCATGGGTTCTGTAAACAAAGCTCCTAGACCCACGGACCTCTTGCTGGCCGTCTACCAGAAGTCTGGATAAGGTACCCACGCTACAACAGCAGTGCCATAAAACGTTAACCAACGCCGATGACTTAATGTCCTCAGTAGCCGCCCTCTAAGAGGATCTACGATTATGGTCCCCACTTCACAGCTGAGGGTTCAGGTTCTTGGCCAACCCTCTCATCCAACAGCACAAACAGTAGTCAGGAGACAGGTGGCAGCCAGCGTCAGAGGATGGTCTCTGCAGGCTGACGCGGGTTCGAATCCCTCCTGTCAGGGCTCGGGGGCTTCTGCTGCCCGCTCACCTCCTGGTGATCCTCCACCACCCACACCGGAAGCCTAGGGTAGCGCCTGAGGCGCGTGCGGTCGCCTCCGGTGCCACTCATGTCTCCGCGCGACTCCGGGGGCCGCGACTCCGAGGAACCCGGAGAGGCGCCCGGCATCTCCAAGCCCCGCGCCCCCCACTGCCCTTTCGCGGCGGAAACGCGCGCTCACCCGGTTGCGCTTCCGGATTGGAGGACGTCAAGGTGGAGGGGCGGGTGTGAGAACCATAGGTAGTGTTGATTGGTCCAGATGTCCGTCACTCTCGCTGGCCCGCCAATCACGGCGCAAAGGTGCTGCGACGCTCTCCGGAGAGTTTTCCCTCCCTAGGCTCAGCTTTTTCAGGTTTGCTTTTTAATTCCCGGGGTTTCCTGTTCCGGAGGCGCGGGCGGCGCCTTTGCCGTGGAGGCTGTTGTAGTAACCAGGCTTGGTTCCGGCGGCGACCCCGGGGACTCTCTGTAGGTAAATGGGGGCGCTTGGCGGGTGTTTGGAGAGCGAGTATCGAGGGTCGGGATTTCAGTGGAGTCCAGGGCGGAGCGAAATGATCCTGGGAGTTGGGTCTGGCCGCTTCGGTGCAGATCTGCCGCCGAGGGCGAGAGAGCGACCCTAGGTGCAGATCCCGCAGATATGCAGGAGCGGGATGGGGTGCCTTTCATCTGTTTGTGGAGCACAAGCCATGGTCCAGGCCCAGGGCCGCCGGGGAGGCGAGTCCCGGAGTCCCGCGCTTACCTCGCAGGCTGGCGGGAGATGCAAACCAGAGAACGTGCAATTGAGCAGCCACCAGGCGGAGGCCGGGCTTCAGGGTTCAACCGTGGCAAAGTGCGGAGTCTCAGTGACTTGTAGTCACACCTTGCAACTCTATGTGTTCGATTGACGTTCCTGGACTAGTCACCTGTTCATAATGGCTCCCTGGGTTTCCCTGCTTTCAAATGACAGCCCAGGAATAGGCGTTTTTCATTTACATTGAATTCATTGAGTTAAATTTTGCATCTACAATACATTGGTTCAGTATGTTTTATCTTTTCTAACTGTAGAAACGCCCAGGGTGGTCTGGTAGTGAGTGTTCCACTCCATTTTTACACTATCCAGAGGTGTTAATTACCCTGACTGTTGCCTGACTGTTGTCTAGCTTCATTATATTCCTTTTTGTTATCTTGGAGTCTTTCCATCCTTATTTTCTTGTTTTTAATCACGTTGCATTTTTCTTTTTGTGGTGTCTGGTTTTATTTTTTATTTTATTTATTTTTTTGGTTTTTTCGAGACAGGGTTTCTCTGTGTAGCTTTGGAGCCTTTCCTGGAACTCACTCTGTAGTCCAGGCTGGCCTCGAACTCACAGAGATCCACCTGGCTCTGCCTCCCGAGTGCTGGGATTAAAGGCGTGCGCCACCACCGCCCGGCTGGTTTTATTATTATTATTATTAAAACATTTGTATGTGGGTTTTGAGATCTTTGAGCCCTGAAGGCTTGTGTGTGCCATGTTCATCTTTGAGTCTACAGAGTTTGGGACAGTGCCTCACATGTATTGATTGACTCAGTAAATGATACATGAATCAGTGAAAATGTCTGCTTCCTGGGTGGTTTCAATAATATAAATTTGTGGGGAGAAGAAGGGAAATGAAAACGTAGTGACACAGAGACACAAAGTAAAACCTGCCTGCCGTGTATTGTGTGCAGAAGCTGTGACGGATGCAGAAATGACCGAATGAACCCATGGTTTCAAGGATCTAGTACCATTGAAGGAGCTCAACATGGGCACCCCTGACTGCCGCAGGCAGTTGCTGGTAAGTTCTATAAAAGAAGTGAGTATAGACTAGGCAGTAGGAATCTAGAAGGGATGAGATTATGTTCCCCAGGGAAACCAGGAATGCTTCTCAGAATAGGTTCAGTAAGAGGTTGGTGGATGGGTAGGAGTTCAGTGGACAAGTAAGGGACGGTGGGAGCTAAGAAGTTTCGTGATAGTGCTCCGTTTGTTACGGGTGGGCGGGCGGGGAAAGGATGGGCTGGGAGGGGCTTTGTGGAGAAGGAAATAGGATGATAAGCCTGGGAGAGGTTGGGTTTCGGTCCTTTAGCGCTTCAAATGCTGAGCGTGGAATTTGTACTCAATTCTGTTGGCTCTGAGGAGCCTGTGATGCCAGTAGCTCTTTGGGTCCCAAGTTTAATCATGAGAGTGTTGGAATGAGGAATAATCATTAATCACATTATTTGGTAGCTATGTTTATTAAACAGTAATTGATAGAGCTCAAGTTATTTGTAATTTTTCTTTTTTACTTTGTCAGTTTGATAAAGACTTAAGCATTTTTAAAAAATTTTAATTTTGTAGATGTGTATCTATATGTTCCTATATATATGTGTGTGTGTATTAGAGTTCTCTAGAGTTAGAGAACTACATCTATAGAAAGGGCATTTATGCCAGGTGGTGTTGACATATGCCTTTTAATCCCTGGGAGGCAGAGGCAGGCGGATCTCTGTGAGTTCAAGGCCAGCCTGGTCTACAGAGCGAGATTCAGGACAGGCACCAAAACTACAAGGAGAAATCCTGCCTCGAAAAACCAAAAAAAAAAAAAAAAAAAGTAGGGGGGATTTATTAGTCCCAGCATCCAGTAGTTGCTCAGTCCTTGAGGCTGAGGCTGGATGTTTCAGCTGGTCTTCATTATGTGCTGGAGTCCCGAAGAAGTAGGCTCTAATGCCAGTGAAGGAATGGACTTGCTAACAAGGCAGGAGCAAGCAGGCAAAGAGCAAAAGTTATATATAGGCTTACAGCAGAAGGTATGGCCCAGATTTTTAGATTACAGATCTGGATTAAAGGTAAGTCTTCTTACTTCAAAGATCTGGATTAGAAGTAGATCCCACCCCCCCCCCCCCCCCCACCCCCCCCCCCCCCCCCCCCCGCCCCCCCCTCCCCACTTCAAATTAAGCATAAACCCCTCACAGATGTGCACCCGGAATAGTTATGTTGACAACCAAGAATAACCATCACAGTGTGTCTACATCAGTGGTTCTCAATCTATGGGTTGTGACCCCTTTGGGTCAACAAAATATTATGGTTGAGGGTCACCATAACATGAGGAACTGCATTAAAGGTCTACATTATGAAGGTTGAGAACCACTGGTCTACATTTGGCCAGGGGCCTTTTTTTTTTTTGGATCCAGCCTATTTGGTGTTCTGTAAGCTTCTTAAATCTTCATAGGTATTTTTTTCTTTATGTTAGGAAAGTTTTCTTCTATGACTTTGTTGAATATATTTTCTGTGCCTTTGAGTTGGTAGTCTTCTTCTATCCCTATTATTCTTAGGTTTGGTCTTTTCTTGGTATCCCAAATTTCTTGGACATTTTGTGTTAGGATTTTTTTGGCATGAGTGTTTTCTTTGACTGATGAATCTCTTTTCTCTATTGTTTCTTCACCGTCAGAGATTCTCTGTTCCATCTCTTGCATTTGGTTGGTTATGCTTGCATCTGTAGTTCCTGTTCGTTTAGTCAGAATTTCTATTTCCACCATTCCCTCAGTTTGCGTCTTCTTTATTGTCTTGATTTCAGTGGTCTACATATTTGTATGTATACAAGTGTGCAGGTGCTTCCAGAGGCCAGAAGAGGGCGTGGTATCTCCTGGTGATTGTGAGCCACCCAACATTGGTGCTGGGAACTGAACTCTCCAAGAGCAGCAGGTGCTCTTAACTGCTGGGCTATTCTTGGTCCCTAGAAAGATGTTTCTACATTAAAGCTTTGGCATTTAGTATTTGTGTGTGTGTTTTAAAGCTTTTTGCCAAAGTTCAAATATTTCAAAAGTCATTTATTTGACAGTGTTCTTCTGTGGGAAGAGCGGAGAATGAAAGTAAATAATGTAACTTGTGTTAGTAAGGTTGTGGGTATATTTGAATTTGAGTACAGGTTTCACTGTGATTTTTGGGTTGGATTTATGCCTACTTTATATTACAGTGGAGGGAAATGTGTTTGTGAGGGACAGAGAAAGTCTTTCCTTTAATCTTTTTTTTTTTTTTTTTTTTCCAGACAGGGTTTCTCTGTGTAGCTTTGCGCCTTTCCTGGAACTCGCTTTGTAGACCAGACTGGCCTGGAACTCACAGAGATCCGCCTGCCTCCACCTGCCTCTGCCTCCCAAGTGCTGGGATTAAAGGCGTGTGCCACCACCGCCCAACTTCCTTCAATCTTTTACTAAACCAGAGATGGGAGGTGACTGTGCTTTTGTTCAGTTTAGCAATAGTTAGTTTTGAGTTAGTACAGCTAATGAGGACAGCTTGAGATTTGCTTGGAAACTTGAAGATAGTATGTTCCTGATTTTGTTAATAGGCTAAGCATTTTCCAGGGTTTAAATTTTTTTTTTTTCCTAGACAGGGTTTCTCCTGTAGTTTTGGTGCCTGTCCTGGATCTCTGTAGACCAGGCTGGCCTTGAACTCACAGAGATCCGCCTGGCTCTGCTTCCCGAGTATTGGAATTAAAGGCGTGTGCCACCACCACTGGCTGAGGGTTTAAAATTATTGTTAAGATAATTGTAAACAAACAAGCAAAAAAAAAACCTCTACTTTATAGCATTGGTAGTTTTGAAAACATGTTTAAATAGTCTTTCTGTCTTGTAGAGCGTACATTCTGAGTGGAAGATGTAGCGTATCTAGAGGATACATCACCATGCAAGGCAATACATGGTAAGTGGTATGCTGGAAATGGCAGTTCGGGAAGACTGAAGAAGAGAGGGTAGGTAGTGGGCCAGAGGGTGGGAAGGTTCCAGATAGAAGGGAAGGGCAGGGACTGTGTTCATTCTTTAATCTATGGTCATAGCACATTAGAGGTTTGTGTGCAGGGCTAAGAGCCAGACCAGGAGCGTGAGTGAAACATCCTAGAGCCGTCCCCTGAGTGAGCTTGCAGTTCTTGACTGCAAGTAGGCATTGAAGGTAGAATTATATAATTAGTTGGTGATGCTTGTAAGACCTGCTAAGAAGCAGCATCGAATATTGTAAGAGCAGGAAATCTCAGGAAGACGTGTTAGCCGGTGTTCTCTAGAGTTAAAGAATTTACAGAATGAATTGGTTTATACAGAAAGACTTATTAGAATGACTTACAGACTGATGCACAGGTAATCCAACACTGGCTGGCTGTGAATGAAAAGTCCAAGAATCCAGTAGTTGCTCAGTCCACAAGGCTGGATGTTTCA